GCGGCCCTCACCCCGCGCGCCCCTAGAGTGGGCCCTAGTCCCGGTCCCCGCCCCGCGCCGGCCGGGCCCAGAGCTCCGGCGCTGCTGCCTCCTAGGCCAGCCACCCTCCTCCGCCCCCCGCTCGGCTGGTCGGCCAGCCTAGGCCCCTGCGGGCTCCCGGCGGCGGGCAGCAGCTCTCACCTGTGGGTGTGGGGGCGGCTTAGGGACTGGGTCCGGTTCCGCTGCAGGGGCCGCGGCCCCTCTCCATGCTGCCTCGGGTTTGTTTTGTTTATGTCCTTCCTGACGGGTTCCCGGAAATCGCGTGACTCGCCCCCCTCACGTGGGCCACGGCGAGGAGGAGGAGGGAGGTGGGGGCCCGCCGGCCACCAGCCAATCGCGAGGCGACCTGCAGCTCGGCCAGTCAGGGGCTCTGCCCGGACGGGCACCCCTGTCACATGACATCGGAGGGGCGGGTTGCTGAGAAAAACCAGGAAGAGAGAGCAGAGCCGGTGATAGGCGCCTACCGCTGCAGCGTGGGCGTGGGCCGTTTCTGATACTAAGCCTCACTCTCACTTTTGAAAAGGTTATTCCTTTTCAAATATAAAGGCTTTCGTATCCAGCGTCTTATCTCATCTCAGAACCGGGCGGTGAGGCACGAAATGTCTGTATGCCCATTTTACAGTTTAAGTTCACTGAAACTTTGAAGGGGCTAAGGAAACGTTAAGTGAATTAGTAGGGGGATTGTATCGACGTTCTATTTTATGAATGGCCTCCCCATCCGAACGTTTTAATTCACTGAGAGACTGACTTAGCCTTCCCTTGTTCATTCATTCACTGATTCAACTAGTTATTTAATGAGCTAAACTAATATTTATTGATCCGCAAACACAGAGATCAGTCAGACTGTGCACCTTTAAGAGAGAAGACCTGTACACAACTGTACAAACAGAATGCTACTAGACAAGACTTTGTAACACATGGTCCTGAGAGGTTTTTGTGCTTCCTAATCCTAACAGCAATCGTTTATTGATCGTGTACTATCTTAGTTCTCCCTACATGCACATGCAATAGTAATATACCCATTTTTCGGAAGAGGAAATTAAGGCTCAGAGGGGTTAGGTTACTTTCCCAAGTCGTGCAGGTAGTAAATGACCTAGTTAGGACTGGAACCCAGGTCTGTTATCATACCCTGTGCTTCTAGAATGCTCTTTATACTTCTTAAGGGCACAGAATTTATCTTCTGAGCACACAAAAGAAATTTGATTTCAGTAAGCAAGGGGAAAAGAAGATTGGGAAACAAAGACTCTTGGCAAGATTCCTTCAGGATGACTTCTCTTTTCTCTTAGGAGTAATTGCCTTCGAAAACATGGCTCCGCTTTGCACACATCTAGGGAAGTAGTATAGTGCCAATGTCAAAACCGTGGACCTTGGAATCGAAAAAATTTTCAAAGATCATAATCTTCAAGAAGGCAGGGACTGGCAGTGTTTATCCTCTACCTTCCATGCCTGGCGCATAGGCAGTCATTACATATTGGTCGAATGAATAACGACCTGGATTTGAATCCTTGCTACATCTCGTGTGAACCAGCCTAAACTATTTAACCTCTATGAGGCTCAGTTTCCTCCTCTGTAAGTCCCTTATGGTGTTGATGTGAGAATTAAGTGAAATAATGCATATAAAGCACTTACATGGTACCTGGCATATATTAAGCACTTAATGAATGCTAGTATTATTAGATTGTTTCAAGGGCATCGTTTGAGAGATCTACAGTAGACTAGCAAGTAAAGATAACTCTAGACTTTAGCAGTTTAATAGCCACTAAAATAATACTTCTGTACACAAAGTGAACAGGTAGGTATATATAGATACCTAAGAGGAAAGTAAATGAGTAAGTCCTCGTACACAAAGTGAACAGGTAGGTATATATAGATACCTAAGAGGAAAGTAAATGAGTAAGTCCTCTGTATCCTCCACAATGCCAAGCACACAGTAGGACCTCAGTACCCAATGAAGGAATGAGTATTTTCACTACTATTTGCCCTACAAGTGGCAGGATTATAATTATTTTCTTTTTAAAGTCTAACATACCAAATTCTAATTTTCCACATTACCTGGAGTTTAAAATTGGACAGAATAGAATAACTGACTGGAGATGTTTGAGCCAGGTTCCCCTGACTCATTCACATGAGATCCATGCATTAACTCTCCATGGACTACATTACAGACTATTCTCTTTCATAATACTATGTTTGGAATAGCTCCAACAAATGGTTGGCTCTTCCATTTTTACACTGCCTTCTGGACACAGGTGTTTTCAGCTCTTGTACTTGGCAAAAGTTCCTTGGGGTGAGGGAGCACCCAAGTTCATCTCCCAGCATGAGGTTCTGCCCACTGAAGATGCTTACTAGTGAATTACACTGGATTCCTGCCTTTGCATCTCCCGTTGTCTTGTAAAGGACAGTTTTGGCTAACAGAGACCTTCCCATCAAGGTTCGTTAATGACTGCATTCTGCTTTGAAGTGAATGGAATGACTAGCTCCTAATTGATTTGTTTCTCTGGGTTTCATCCTGCCAGGTTCTGCCACAAAGTTGGCAGGAAGCTGAGACACAAATAGCATTGGCTTGAGGTTAAAGAGGCTCTCCTGGTTCTATCCACAAAGCAGTAACCAACTGGCATCACCACTTCCAAAGTGCTTAACCTTGTTCCTGTTGAATAATTTACATACTGGGATAGCCTGAGTCAGAAAAACATGTTTTACATAAATCTGAGACAAGGGAGGAAACAAAACAATAGATATATAGGACTCCATTGAATTCTTAAAAATAAACTATTTTAATTATGTAACATATAAACACAGTGCAAAATTCAAAAGGTACAAAAAGGTATTCCATGGATATTAAGTGTCCCTCTCACCCATTTCCTGGCCACTTACTGCCCCTTCTCAAAGGCAACCACAGTTATCCATGCTCTGTGAATCCTTCCAGACATATTCTTTGTATGTGCAGACATTTCACCCACCCATTTAGACCATGATGTGTTTTGAACACTGTTGTTGGAGCTAGGACCCCAATTTGAGCTCTACTACAAACATGAGATCCAAGGTGACCTCTCTGCTTTCCAGTTTATTCACCATGCAGACTCTAGACTAAAACTGGATATTCTCCATGATCCTTCTAGCTTTAACATTGAGCCCACATCCTGAAAGAATTAAAACACCTAACTTTCCTTGTGACCTCGTCTGCACTGTGTGTAAGTCTTCATTAGAGCAGATTGAGCCCTGCCTGCTGATCATGTACATGTCTTTTAAGTGAGTGTTACCCTTTTGAGTCTAAGTGTTTTCTTTCCAGACCCCTCTGGGCCTGTGTGGTATGTTAAGATTTCACAGCTTCAGAAGTGAGATTAATTAACTCAAAAGCTGGAAGATCTCCAGGAAAAGCTGTGTCCTTCTGACAGTAAAAACTGATTTTCTTCCTGAGAAGACTGGAATATTGCTGAGGGTGAATCTAAAAGATATACTGATTGATAGTTGGCAATTGGCACCCATCCTTCATTCATCTCACCTAAAAACTATTCTTTTTTTTTTTTTTTTTTTTTTGGCAGCTGCCTGGTACAGGGATTAAATGAACCCTGGACCTTGGTATTGTCAGCACCATGCTGTAACCAACTGAGCTAAAAAATAAAAACTATTATTTGGAGGAAGAAGAAAGTTCAGTTCTTCCCTCTTCTGCACCTGATCTCTCAATAGTACAGTGTTCTTTATATGACAGCTTTGAGACTTAGTCTATTTCTCCCAGAAAGCACCAGTTTTAGTCCCAAATACCCTTCCCCAGTCTATCATTTATTTATTTACCCTGATTCCTTTTTTTTTTTTTTTTTCCTTTTTGTCTTTTTTCGTGTCCGGCAACGGATCGCAACCCTCAGTGTCGCGACCGTACCGGACCAGGACCAGCAACGGGATCGCAACCCTTGGTGTTGCGCCCACACCTCGCTCAGCCAGTGAGTGGGAACCAGTCTGTATGTGGGATCCGAACCCTCGGCGGGAGCGCCACCACGCTCCCAAGCGGCGCACTGTAGCAGTGCGCCACCGGGCCGGCCCCTACCCTGATTCCTTATCCCACCTCATTCCCTATACCCAGCATGAGGCCTGCCATGGGATAGGAGCCTGCTTGTGGTCTGAATGAACAAATTTACATCCAAATCCTATTCATCCTCCAAGGCTGAAGATCCCACCTCTTCCATGGAGTCTATTTCTACCAAGTCTATTTCTATACTCATTAATCTCCTTTCCTCTACTGCCCAACTGAGCACTTAATGTACTTACCGCTTTGTATTATTCATATCATGATGTTGATATTATTTCTTCAGTAAAATCAAGTGGGCATACTCAAATCTCAAATGATATTATTTTTAAAAAATCAAGTGGGCACAAACACTAATATATCCTTGAGTTATAAAGAATGCAAAGCACTTCATTAGCCCTCATATTCAAGGTTGTGTTTCGTGACAGACGGAAAGGAAAGGAAGGGAAATAAATGATGTTTGTTGAGTACCTAATGTGTACACTGAAGGCATAGTCCTTGCCCTGGAGGAACTCCAAAAATAGTAAAGGAGACTGACATGAAAAGCTGAGAATCAACAGTAGAGTTCATAAGAAGGGAGGCCCTAGCACGGTTGTTAAGGACAGGACATATGTTTCTGTGCCACTTTCTTGCTAGCTTACTTGGTTTAAGTTACTAATCTGTCTGTTCTAACTTGCCTCACAGGTTGATTTTAAGATTAAATGTAGGACGTGATGCCTAATAGGTACCCCCTTCTCCACCTTCCAGGGAGGAACGTGACTGGAAACTTCTCAGAAGAGAAGCAGCAGAGAAGGGAAAATAGCATGGTAAAGAGAAGGTGGCAAGCAACTCAGACTGTTTTATGATTCCATTATCTTCCAACGCAGCATTCTTGTCAAAATTGTTTTGTCTGTTTCACTAAGACTGAAAACTTCTGAGGACAACTAATAGTTCCTGTGGTGTCTGGTTTTTTGGTTTTGTTTTGGTTTTTTGCCAGTGCTGAGCTGAACATACACTGTTACTATCAGTGACTACAACTGATAGCAAACCAGGAAGCCAGGCAGTGAGAACAATCTAGCATTTGTTGTAGGAAAACCTCCCAAAGCGCATGTAAAATAAGACGTTCTGTTGGTGAGGCAAGAAGTAGGACAATAAAGACAGAAAGTGGAGAAACAGTTTGATAAGAAACAGGAACCAAGACCGGTAGCCATGACAATAGTCTGTTGA